ATTACTTTAGCCTGTGGTAAGTTATGAATTCAGGAGTATGAGTCCTCCAACTTTGTTCTGTTGGTTTTTTTTTTTTTCCAAGATTGCTTTGGCTATTCTGGGTCCTGTGTGTTCCCACGGGAATTTTCAGAGCAGCCTGCCAATTTCCGAAGGAAATCCAGTGGGGACTCTGACAGGGATTGCACTGACTCTGTAGGCCAATTACAGGAGTACCGCCATCTTATCGTGTTTTATTTTGGTGTTTGTTGAGTACAAATTGAGCTCATGCCCAATATGGTATTTTGAGTCCTGATTTATTCTGCTTACTATTCTGTCATAGGCACTTCCCATCTTACGAAAGATGCAAGCATAATTTCACTGCTATGTAATATTCCCTCATTTGGCTGTTCCACAGGAGTATCAGCTCTTGGTTGTTGGGTAATTTATCATGGGCGTGCTTTGTTCTGGGGCTGTCATGGTGCAGGTCTCGCCTACAGGCACAAATGGGCCCTGAGAGGACGGGAGGCCCACAGAACAGCAGTGGAATACTAGTGTAAAGTTGGTCGACAGGTGCCCCACGCTGCAGATGGGTCCTGGGGCTCCCTGGAGATGTCAGCATTCTGGTTAATGGACAGCTCACCTGCCGACCTGCCGGCCTGCCTGGCAGCACCACCCTGATGGGGTGCAATCAGGAAACAGCATCCAATAGATTTGCAGGCACTGATGGAGAGTGCTTTTTTTGTAGGCATATTTTCAATATTACACAAATTGAGTTTCACTCAGTTTCACTGAGTCATACTTTTTGTATCAGTCACGAGAAGCTGGTCTGCTGCAATAACAAACAACTCTTAGCTCTTAGTGGTGCTAGAACGTTCTTTTTCCCTCATGCTGCAAGTCTGTTAGGTAGCAGAAGTGCCCCGGAGTTTAGGTTGCTGCAGGCTTCCCCACGCAGGTCATTGCTGCCTTCTGTGGCAGGGAAAAGAGGGTGCGGTAGGCCGAAGAATGCCTCCCCCCGAGATGCCTATTCTCTGATCCTTGGAACCTTTGAATATATTATCTTACAAGGGGAACTTTTGAATATGTTATGGACAAGGGGAATTGTAGTTGCAGAGGAAGCTAAAGTTGCTAATCAGTCGGCCTTAAAATAGGGCACTAAATGTATCCAGAAGGCTCGTTAAAGGAGAAGAGGGAAGCAGAAGAGGTCGGAGTGATGCAGTGTGGTAAGAACTCAACCCGCTGTTGCTGGCTTTGAAGGCGGAGGAAGAGGCTTTGAAATGAGGGACGTGGGTGCCCTAGAAGCTGGAAAGAGCAAGGAAACGAATTTGCCCATTGAGCCTCTTGAGAGGAACATCTCCCTGCCAACATCTTGATTTTGACCCAGTGAGGTACATTTCAAACTTCTGAACTACCGAACTGTAAGATAAGTCCATGTTGTTTTCAGCCATTAGGTTAATGGCCATTTGTTATAGGTGCCAAGGAAAACGAATACAACAGGCATGGGGAATCATGTACCAGCCCTTAAATGCTCTGCCTAGAAGTGACATGGGGCATTTCTACTCATATTTCATTGGCTGGAGCAAGCCACATGGGCATGCCTGACTTTACAGGACTGGAGAAATTTGCCCAGCCTTAGAGGGGGATGGAATATTGGTAAATATAGTGTATGTACTGTATGCTTGCTATCTGTACTTCATGCTTCTATCTCCTATTCCATTAAAACAAGTGCTGGTGGCAAATGCATTAAGTTGACTTTGTGATCAACTAATGGGTTGTGGCCCCTGCTTTGAAAAACATTGCTCTATAGACTCTTTTCTGCCCATGTGTCAGGAACCACATGACACACTCTAGGCAGAGCTGATTGGCCCACGAGTGGGACACCTGACCAAAATTGACCAATGAGATTCCTCTCCTGGGACTTTGGAATTGGGCCATTCAGCAATTAACAGTGGGAAGCTGAGGGAGAGACAGAATAGGAAGAGGGTCAGAATGAGAGCCAGATGCAAGCCAAAATGATGGAGGAGCCGAAAAGCACTGAGTAAGCAGAGAGAGTTGGTCCACAAAGACAATGGAGCGGCCGCACAGAGAGCGGTGCAGCCGGCAGAACATGCAGCCCCAGAGGGAGAGGTGGAGAGAGATAGCAACCGTCTGAGAGGCTGATGGCTTCCCTGTTCCTGGCTCCAGCCCCCGTGCATCCTGCCTGCGCATTCTTCCCGTGAGATTTTTGTCTCCTTATCATGCCCCCTCCTCCTTTTCCTGGGCTACCCGCGGTGGGTTTCTGTTCCTCGTCTCCAGTAAGCCTTACCCAGCTGCACCACCACCAGTATTCCCTGTGTGGGACTGGGCTTTGTTTGGCTCGAGAACCCGGCTTGTGGGGCACAGATGGGACCCGGGAGTAAACCAGATCCAGCAACCTCCCCGCAGTCTGGAAATTTGGCTTTGACCACAGTCTTGTGTGTTTGTGCTGCTCTTCAAAGTGGATGGGCAGAAGCCGTCTGTGTGGTGCGCCACATGTGGGGGGGTCCTGGTGACCTGGACGCACCCCCACGGGGGCCTTTTTGCTGACATTGGGGTCAGGAAGCTGGTGCAGTTGCTTCAGGGAGGGCTAGACGAGGGGAAAGGTAGCCATCGTTCGCCCATCTGACCCTCCACTGCCTCGTCTCTGAAATGGGACTGTGGAAGGATCGGCAGCGTTTGGGGAAAGATACTTGGAGACATGACTAGGGCACAAAACACTTTCAGATCGTGGGCAGCTGCTGCCGTTGTCTGAGGAAGCCCTCTGCGTTGGCACCCTGAGGAGGCGGCGCCCTGGCCGACTGAGTTCGAGTCAGAACGTTCCCCCCTACTGGCCACCTTCCTGCCCCTGTTGCCCTCGCTGTCTTCTCACCCCTTTACTGGTCCTGTTGTTTCTCCTGCCCCCCCCCCACTCTTGCCCTCATTTCCCCTCATTTCTGTTCCAGAACTTGATAAAACACCTGCTTTAGGAAAGCAGCGGGCTTGGATATGAAGCACCCAGCTTCTGGAGGCAGACAGGCAGAATTGCGTCTGAATCCTGAACTTGTCCCTTGTTTGCTGTGTGTTCCTGGGCAAGTTACCACATCTCTCTGAACCCCTAGTTCATCATCTACGAGCATACAGATACATGGTAAAATGGGTTAGAATGCCCATTTTACGGTGCTAGTAGGAGAAAAAATTAGGCACTTAACAAAGGTTAGTTCCTTCTTAACTACCTCCCTCCCTCCCTCCCTCCTTCCCTTTTGGATTATCACTCTTTCAGCCGAGCCCCCAGCCCCCTCCGGTGGCCAGGATGCCACTTGTCCCAGTGGGGGATCGCTGGTCTCCTCTGCAGGCCCAGCCCAACCTGGTAGCTGCTGGTTCAAACCATGTGATGTGTATTTTTCTCACTTTAGCAATTATTACACTTCTGCTGACAGTGGCATCTTCACACTCCAAACACTGATAAATATTTATGAGGAGAAAAGCTCAGAACCCCTAGGGGCTGTCAGGGAGGAATGTGCTAGGCCCTTCTTTGCAAGCCAAGCTCAGATGCATCAGTGGTCCCGTGGGCCCTGGAACCAGGGGTGGCTGTGTAGGGGCTGCGGAGGCAACACAGGGCCACCCCTCACCCCCCACTCCTTGGAGGACAGACTGCCGCTGCAAGCTGTTGGCCTCACCCTGCCTCGCCCTGGCTGCCCGCTGGACCTGCTGCTCCGGGGAGGGACTGGGGCTGTGTGCTCCCTCTCGGCTGTGCATGTCCCTGCTCCATGGCCCTGCCTCTGCTCCAGGTCTTTGCTTGTGACTGCTCCTCTCTCCCTCTTCTTGTTTTTTCACTTGTTTGTTTCTTCATCTCTAATTCCATCTTCTATTTTCAGAGCTCCTGGGCCATGTCCCCCACCTGTCCTCTCCCTCCTCCAGCACCTTCCCTTATCCCCTGGGTCTCTGTCTCTATTTTTCACTTTTCTTCTCTCCCTCCCAACATTACGGAGCGTTTCTGGGGCTCGACAATGGGGGTCAGGGGAGGGGCCTCGGGCTCTCAGACGCAGCATGGGGGAGAGGGCAGGGGAGCTGCTGCAGCCTGCAGTGTGCTCCAGAAGACAGAGTGAGCCCCTGGCGGGACTCAGAGACCAGGCCTGTGCCTGACTCCACACCCAGAGATCTGCTCTGTGGCCACAGGCACATCCCCTCCCTCTCCTGGACCTCAGTTTCTCAGCTGCTGATTCCTTCACTGGTTCATTCATTCACCCACTCAACTAATATTTATCAAGTCCTGCTTGATAATGAATGAACTACTTGCCATTCATTAATGCATTTGTTGAACATCTAATAGGTGCACCCTCCTGGGCACTTGGGATACATGCGAGCAGAATCAGTTCTCAGGGAGCGGAAGTGTCAGCAGAGCAGACAGGCATGACTGTAACCAGCGATTATGTAGCAGGCTAGAAAGTGGTGCGTGCTGCGGGAAAAGGGGAAGGAGGAGAGAGGGAGTGAGAGTGTGGGGTGGAACACAGGGTGAGGACCCCCCATTCAGTGCTGGGCAAGCAGGTCTTGAGGAGTGTCCGGGGGCAGAAGACTGCGAGAGTGAAGGCCCTGAGGCAAGAGCCACCCTGGTGTGTGGGAGGAACAGCCAGGAGGCTCTGTGGCTGGAGGACTGAGGGAAGAGAGGCGGAGGCGAGGCCGGGAGGTAACAGAGGCAGAGCAGATGCACAGACCAGGGCCAGTCCTCTGCCTGAATGGGCCGGAGTTGGAGCAAGTGCGTGGCGCGGTCTGATTTACATCTTGAGAGACTCCCTCCACCTGCTATTGAAGAAGAGACTAAGGGGGCCCTGGCCAGAGCCCAGAAGAGCTATAATGGCAATACGGGTGCCTCGGGTGGGGGCAGTGATGGAAATGGTGAGACCTGGGCATGCTGGGCACTGTTCCAACTCTGAAGGTTTAGAAGGTGCCTGCAAAATAACTCCAGGCCCCTCGTCCTCAGCCCTGCTGCGGGGTGCTAACCCCAGCCTCCCCTCTCTTTCTCTCCACAGGGTGTTCAAGAAAGCGAGCCCAAATGGAAAGGTGAGTCTACAGCACCTGCTCCCCAGCTCCTGCCTGACCCCAAACTCTTGTCCTCTGTGGGGCATGTCTCCTGACCACAGAGGACCCTGCACATCCCCATCTGAGGCTGTTAGGAGGCCTTGACCACAGGGTTGCGGGCCCTCAAGAAACTCGCTCCTGGGATTGGGGTGGTACAGCCCCCTCTAGACTCCAGGGAGCCCCTTTCTCTGGTGTGGTGGTTTGCAGAGAGACTATCGCAGAGACTTTGGTGTGAGTGCAGGAATTAGAGAAGTGCCAAGGAACCCAGGGACCCTGCCCCCCCCCCCCACCGTGTGAGAGGCCCCTAGAGCCTGTCCACAGAACCGGGCATCCTTGAGCTGTCAGGGCAGCTCCCAGTGCCTGTCCTGCTCGATTTCTTCCCGCAGGCCCCAGGCTCCATCCTGCCTTCCTCTCAGCTCAGCACGTGGATGGTGCTGCCATCGGTCACGTCAGGCCCCGGCGAGCGGGTGGGGTTGGGGTAGGCTGCACTGAGATACATAAGGCTCAGCGCCTCCACTCGCGGCCAGACGGGGCGGGCAGACACAGAAGGGATCCTTCCCGTCTAAAGTGACAGGCGTGAGATAAAGGGCTGCCCAGGGGCTGCAGCACCCAGCCTGGCGTGTGCTTCCAGGCGAGGCGTTCTGGGCTTGCACATAGTCGTAGGGAGTGTGTGTAGGGGTGGGGAAGGGTCAGAGCAGTTAGGTCTGAGTGCCCAGAGGGAGGCTGAGGGGGCAGGAGCTTCGGCCGGGCTGGCAAACCGCACCTCACCGGCTTCCTCAGCAAACATCACTGGTCACTTTTCCCGCTGAGCCAGGATCCCGTCCTAGATTCCTTCTCAGCTCCTGCCAACCGAGCAATCAATCACAGTTGGCATTTGGAATGAAACCCATTTGTCATCTTGCCTCTGGGCACCGAGGCCCCGTTAAAGGGTCTTCAGATGGGACTAGCGTCATTAGATCAGCATTTTAGAAGGGCCAGGCTGGCTAAGGAGGGGGTGGCCTGAGGGCTGAGGGCTGCGGTGGAGGGACTCCTCGGGAGCTGGGGACTGTGGAGGAGCAGGCGTCCAGCGTGACCCTCTGGGCTCTAGCTCAGGCTCTCTCCCCCCGAGGGCTGGCTGCCGAGTGGGGCTCCAGCTCCAGATTCCTCTCTGCTTGGAACACCAGCCCCGGCAGGAGAGGGTTTCTGCTAGACCGTGGGGAACGAACTCAGCGTTCAGAGCTTCGCGCCGGTGTCCCTGCCCTCGGTTCCTCTGGCTTCTCAGAGACGCGCCCGGGACTCCGCTCAGCAGACCTCCCTGCTGCGGCCGCCCCACCTTCCGTGGTACATGGCGAGATTTCTCCAGGGCTGTGTCCTCATCAGTAAAATGGAAACAATAGCAACTTCTTCACAGGGGTCTAGAATGAACAGGTGCTTTCAAAATTGTACAAGGGTTAGTTATTCTTCTTATTGGGGCTGGGACTCAGGTCCAAGGCCAGCCAGTGAGGGTTTCGGTGAGGGTCAGGGACGGGTTTCGAGTTTCAGGGGCAGCTCCCAAGGTTTTCTCCAGGGCAAGGGCCAGCGGCTTTCAGGAGTGTGTTCTCCTGGCCCACAGCTGCTAACGTCACCCTGTGCCTCTCCTCCCCAGCTCACCGTCTACCTGGGGAAGCGGGACTTTGTGGACCACATCGACCTCGTGGACCCCGTGGGTGAGTCCCTGGAGCCCAGAGAGGAAGGCAGTGGGGGAGGCGGGGCTGGCCAGGCCCCTTCCAGAGAAGGGTGTGTTGAAGCAGCCCGGGAAGAGCCCTTGGGCCTCTGGTGCCAAGAACGAGGTGTGAGAGGCTTCCTGCTTCAGTCTGCAAACGTTTACAGAGCAGCTTCCCCCCTTACCTGAGGGTTAAGTGAGTAGGATGGAGGTGAGAATCAGGGAAGGAGCCCCGGTGATAATAAGGAGGCTGAGGACAGATGACGTCAGCTCCCCACCCCACGCGCCACTGCCGAATGGCTTGCAGCATACACTTTGGGGCAGGGGGTACTGTTATTGCCCCTGCTCCACAGGTGAGGTGAGGAGGCCCAGAGAGGTTACGCGACTTGCTCCAGGTCACAGAGCTAGTAGGTCACGGAGCCTGGATTCAAACCTGGGCAGCCTGGCTCTACAGAACCTTTGTTCTGCTCCCTCCTGATGGCACGGGCTGGGCGGTGGAAGGAAAACCCTGGGGCTCGTGAGGTGGAGGCTGTTCTCAGGGACATGCGGGTCCTCCCAGAGGCTGACGTGCCTCTCCCAGGCCCTGCTGTTGTTCAGGGCTTCTCAGCCTCAGCACCCCTGGCGTGGAAGGTCAGGTAATACCCTGCTGCTGGGGCTCCCCTGTGCATTGCAGGTATTCCGCAGTATCCCTGGCCTCTACCCGCTAGACCCCATCCCAGTATGACAAAAAACATTTTTGGATACTGCTAAATGTCCCCTTGGAAGGCACGTTCACCCCCAGTTAAGAATCTAAGAGCCATCGACTCTTCCCACACCTGTTGGAGGGTGGGAGGCCCCAACCCCCCTGCCCCGTTGTACATATGGGGACGATGAGGCCTGGAGAGGTTAAATGTTTTTTAAAGAGAGAGACACGAACGAACTAAAGTGAGGCCGGTGGAGGGACGGGTTGCGGGGGTGAGCACTGGAAATTGCACAAGGCCAAGTCCCGGTGAGGAAACTGAGGTATGGGGGGTGGAAATGCACGGAGACTGTGGCCGCTGTCGCCACACCACTGGGGCTGTCCTGGGGCCAGGAGGGCCGGAGGCAGCCGAGCGAGACAGCCGCTTCAGCTCTCTGAGAGGAAGACCCCTGTGGCGTTGGGACGGGAGACCTGGGGAGTCCCAGGTCGGCAGGGGTGTGAGCAGGGCCCGGGGCTGCAGAGAGGCCCGCTCCCGTCCAGGCCCCCTCCTTCTTGCCCAGAGCAGGATGACCCCACTCTTCCTCCCCACTCCTGTCTGGGGACACTGTTTGGTGTCCCCTGAGCTCAGTGTCCCCTCTGCCTTTTGCATCTCCTCCCTGAACTGGCCCCTTGGAGGCTGTGGGACGCCTCCCAGTGTTCACCTGTGGCCTCCTTCGAGGTGCCATTTCCAACCCACTGGCCTATTAGGAACCGCAGTGGAGGTGGCCCTGAGGCTGGGGGAGGGGCGGCAGGCCAAGGGAAGCAGCTCCCGCAGCACACTGGGCACCCGAGAGCTGTTCAGCAAGTGTTCCGAGAGCACCTGCTACGTGACAGGGCCTGTGCAGGCCCTGGGGGGGCCCCAGAGGACTGCCTTGGTCTTCCCTTGATGAGCCTTCTTGCCCTTTAAGACCTAGTGCAACTCCCCTCCCCCAGAGAGCCTCCCCTAATGCCCCTGGCTGGAAGGAGTGTCCTCACTGGGACGTCTCCTCGTCTCCTCGCTGGTTTTCCACTGAGCCCCTTGTGCCTGGCACAGAAGGAACACCCTCCGTAAGACGTGGGAAGGCGCACGGAGGCACTGGGAGGGGGCGGCACCTCCCCAACCACCTGTCCTTTGCACCTGCCTGGCACTGGGGTAGGACCCAGGGCCCTCTGGGCACTCGCTTCCAGATGTGGCCTCTGAGAGTCCCTGAGAGGTCAGCTGTGGGGGCAGCGTGGGGTAGGGGTGGGGGGTGGTGAGTTAGGATGTGGGCAGAGAGAGATTGTGCTTGTTCAGTGCATCTAGCTGGGTCAAGTGTGGCCAGAGATGACTGGCGATGTGACCGTGAACCAGAGTATCTGGCCCCCCGGGGTTCCGGGCAGAGAAGAGGGCCTTTGTGTCTGGCCGACTCCACCCGCCCAAGGCCAGGCCTTGGGACGTTCTCTGTGGTGCCCCGCATGCCGAGCCCCCTCTGCTGCTTTAATGCATGAACTGGCTCAGTCCTCACAGGAGCCGGGCCACTCACCCAGCTCTGCAGACCCCAAAGCCAAGATCTCTGAAAGTCTAAAACCGTTCACAATAAAAGGTCTTACTGGCCTCTCAGCAAGAATTTCCCAGCAGAGGTAGTGTGGGGTTGAGCATGGGGCGCGGCCCGATCCTGCAGGGGGCGGTAGAGAGTACATGGAGGATGGACCTGATGGCCTTCCTACAATTCAGAACTTCTAAATTCCAAATGATACCCGACAACAGGGGGTTTGGACCCAAATCATCATCATGACAGATAAACAGAAGTAACCCACCAAAAGAACCAGCTGGGTCTGCAAGGCCTCCCCATTTCTCTCAGGGTGCTTTTGGATAGACAGACGGTTGGGTTTGGGTTTGAGTTTGGGTTTTGCTTGGTGTTCAGGGCTTAGGAGTTTGAGAGGTTTGGTTGGGAGGGTCTACTCAACTCTCTGCCCTCCCTCCAGACGGTGTGGTCCTGGTGGATCCTGAGTACCTCAAGGAGAGGAGAGGTGAGGCCCCCACCCCCAGCCTGTCCAGGGCCCTCCTCTTCCCGCTCTGACCTCCAGCCCAGCGTCTCCCTGGCTCCCAGGCAGGGCAGCAGCCAATCATATTGGGGCTCCTCAGCCCCGATGCACATCAGAGTAGGAGCCCTGGCCTGCCTGGCCCGGGCGGCCCTGCGCCGTGCCCCTGGGGAGGAGCCGTTTTAATGCCCAGGCACTTTCCCATTGATACATAGTGACGGTCCGAGGCTGGGCTGCATGCAGGGCGGAAGTTAGAGTCTCACTGTGCAGAAGAAACAGTTGATTGTTGGGGAGGTGCAGGGGCTGTCCAAGGTCAGTGGGAAGATGGGAGGCCAGGGTTGGATTGGGTGAGACCCCAGGCCTTCACCCAGAGCCACCTATCTGTGCCCCTTCACACACGCCCTGGCTCAAGTGGAGTGGGGGTGGGGAAGGACAGATCTGGTCCAGCAGTCAGCCCCTACTTCCTCCAGGTGCCAGGCCACGGTGGCTCTCCCAGGTCCCCAGCGCCCCTGTCCCAAGGACAGTGCAGCCCTCTCCACGGGATCGGTGGGACAGACCTGTGGCCTCCAGCTGGCCTTCTCAGGGCTACGGCTGTGGTTGTGTGGGGCTTGGTTGGAGCCCTCCAAGGCCCCCCCTCAGTGCCCCTGCTCCCACAGTCTATGTGACACTGACCTGCGCCTTCCGCTATGGCCGGGAGGACCTGGACGTCCTGGGCCTGACCTTTCGCAAGGACCTGTTTGTGGCCAATGTGCAGTCCTTCCCGCCGGCCCCCGAGGACAAGAAGCCCCTGACGCGGCTGCAGGAGCGCCTCATCAAGAAGCTGGGCGAGCACGCCTACCCGTTCACCTTTGAGGTCAGGGACTGCAGGCCCCCGGGGCCCCATTCCAGAAGCACCACCTGTAGGAAGCCCTCTGGGCGGGCACGTGGGGGCAGCTGGGGCAGCGGCTTCACATCACCTACTTTCCCGGTGTATGTTGGGACCTGGGGCACTGCCACGTGGCCTGGTAAGTGTCTCTTGTCTGGCCTCTGCCGGGGGTGTCACCCTTACCTCTGAGCGGCTCCCAGACCCTCCTGAGTCCTGGTCGCTGGTGGGAGAAAGAGGGTACTGGGGGCTGCAGAGAAAGGGGCTCTTTCTTGCCCTTGGGTCACCACAGGGCTGTCTCCTCCCTCAGACTGGCTGGCATTTGCCCAGCCTCAGCCCGGCTCACAGATGAGGGATGGCAAGTAGTGGATTTCCCTGCTCCCCCCACTTTTCATTCCAAGACTCCCGTACCCTGGGATTTAGCGTGTCCTGTCTCTGAGACTCTGATCGGGACGAAGTGAACTCTCCTTGCTGTTTGGAGGTTGGGGGGGCGGTGCGGTTCATCCTCTCCTCCATGAGTGCCTCGGTTTTCTGTGGCTGCGGAAACAACCTACCACAAACGTGGTGGCAATTAAACCTGCCAGTTAAAGTACCGATTTATTGCCTCGAAGTTCTGGAGGTCAGAAGTCAGAAACGGGCCTCACTGGGCTAAAATCGGGGTGTCAGCAGGGCTCCGTTCTCTCTGGAGGCTCAAGGGGTGGGGGAAGAATCTGTTCCCTTGCCTTTTCCCGCTTCTAAAGACTGCTCACATTTTGGCCCGTGGCCTATCCCTGCCCCCCAACCCCCACGTGAGTCTTTTTCACATCCCACCTCTGGCGCCAACTCTTCTGCTTCCTGCTTTCACTGTTGAGGAGCCTCGTGGTTACAACCAGGATGATCTCTGCACCACGAGATCCTTAATCACACACATAAAGTCTCTTAGCCATGGAAGGCAACATAGTCATAGGTTTGGGGGTGGGGATGTGGACGTCTTTGGGGCCATTATTCTGCCCACTACAGCAGACATCCTGGGAAGATCTTTTTCAACTGTTGGTCTGTGAGGACTGGACTAGGCTAAACCCTTGGATGGAGAGAAACACTGTGGTCATTGGCTTTACTGGAGGTGCCTTTGGCCTCACGTGGGGCGTGGCTTGGCACAGTCTGATGGGGCACATGTGGTCTGCCTTCCGGAGGCCCTAACCTGACGGGAGACGTGCCTGTCCTTAGAGTGCCCTGGTCTGATGGAGGAGCGTGCTGGCGGGAGACCTGGGGGGTAAGTGGGGAGTGCGGCAGGAGGCTCATTCTGGCTGTCCTCTCAACAGATCCCTCCGAACCTCCCGTGCTCGGTGACGTTGCAGCCAGGGCCTGAGGACACAGGGAAGGTGGGTCACCCCAAAGGGAGCATCTCTCTGAGTACAAGACACTTGTGTCCCCCTGTCCCTGGCTTCCTCTCCAGGAGGTGCTGGAGCCCTCCCTGCAGAAGCCTCCTTGTGTCCGGGCGAATCTAATCTGTCTATTTACTGAGCGGGTAGCAGACGCAGTACTGTCCTTGCCCCGCAGTCGGCAACGTGTCCAAAGGCTTTCCTGAGTCACTGTCACTGACCTTGGTGTCGGCTGCAACAGGACCAGATGTGCTCTGGACGTCCACCTGGCCTCACACCTCACATGGAGGTGCATTCATTTCATAGGTGGGAAAACGGAGGCTCAGAGAGAAGTGACCCCACTAGTACCACAGGCCCCGATCTCTGAGCCCAGGTTTCCTCATCTGCAAAACGGAGAGAATAGGATGTGCCTCCTCATGTGGTGAGAGGGCCAGTGAAACGCTGCCGCGGTGCCCGCGGTGCCCGCTCTGCACGCACACCATGCTCCCAAACAGGGTGCGGAGGGTCCTGTTATGTCTGGGCAGCTGCCCTGGTGAGGGTGACCACCAGGCGAGGCAGGAGTCCGCAGAATAGAGCCCTGTTAGGGCGGCTCTGGATGCCCCGTGTTGGGAGAGCTGGGGAGCAGCCCCCGTGGGACAGTCCGATGAGGGAGGTGTCCACAGAGGGAGGCAGCACAGCCCTGGGGCCGAGCACAGGGCTCCCAAGTCAGACCGAGGGTCTGTCAGACCGTGGGAGCTTGGGGCTCTGTTCTGGCGTCCTGTCTGTAAGGGGAGAGGGCAGCTGGCAGTGCTCTTGGGACTCTGTCCACCCCAAGGCCCTGCAGTCAGCCACCCCCTCCCCACAGGCCTGCGGTGTGGACTATGAAGTCAAAGCCTTCTGTGCAGAGAACCTGGAGGAGAAGATCCACAAGCGGTGAGAAGGCCACAGCGTCGGGCCCGGGTGTGGGCTGCCTGCTGGCAGAGAGAGGGGGACAGGCCAGGCAGAGTGAGAAGGAGAGATAAGTAACAATACCTGGAAGTGCTTGAGGAAGGGCCGCACATTCCAGCCCTGGGAGGTCTGACCAGGGCACTCTGGAAGTCTGGCCGGTCATGGAGGGCTTCCTGGGGAGGTGGCTTAATGGCCCTGGCTCAGACCTCGGAATTTTCCCCTTCATACCATTGTACTTGCTTCCCCCGTCCCTATGCCTCTAGTCTTGTTATCTCCAGACTGCACATCTCTTTACTTTGTTTTGCAAAACAACCCCCAAAATTCAGATTGTTTTAAACAGTGACCTACCTCCCAGGCCATCCTAGACCCCAATTCCCAGTTCTCTTCCTGGGAGTCTATCAGCAGCAGGTAGTGGTGGTAGCAGGTGTCTGTGGAGGCTTCTAAGCAAGGGAGGGAAGTGGAGAAAGTGAACCCAGGAGAGAAGGAGGGAGGAGAGGTCAGCTCATATCTTAAAGAGGGGAAGCGTTCTCTCGGAGAGGCACAGCCCTGGGCAGAGAGCCCAAGGCAGCCTGAAACAGCCGGCCTTGACTTCTGAGGTGGGCTGCCTCCACCGCCAACTCAGATACCCCCTGCCTAGGGCAGTTCCTGCCCGAGGCTGGCTGGCAATGTCTTAGGGAATGGGCAGAGTGTGCCACCTGGTGGCTCTAGGATGTATTGCATTCATCTCCATCTCCAGCCCGGGCAGCTTGTGTGTGTTGGGGGGCAGGAAATGGGGCCCTTCTCCCTTGCTTCTCCATTTCTTCTTAAGGTCTGAGGCCAGGGGAGTGGAAGGGGATTGTGGTTTGGGGGGCTGGAGCCTGATCAGAGAAAGGAAGAGGAGCAACGTTGAGAACCGCCACCTGCTCCTCACCACCAATGGGACATTTTAAGTCCTCACCAGAGTTACTACTAATAATAGCAACTATCATTTATCAAAGATTTGTTAAGTGCTGGACAGTATTCCAAGTGATGGGCATGTATGAACTAATTTAATTCTCATAGCAACCCTAAGAAATTGGTCCTGCTACTGTTACTGATTTACAGATGAGGAAGTGAGACACAGGTTAATCTACTCGAGGTCATAAGTTCGTAAGGGGAGAGCCAGGATTTTGCCCTGGCTAACCGGCCCCGGGGAGTGGAGGCGGCTTTATCTGACGAATAGGGGTGCCAGCATGCTCGGCACGCCCCAGGGACCGCCTCACGGAGTCCCGGTTCTGTCCTCGTCCTGTTTCTCTCTGAGCTCCTGTCACCATCACTGAGCCCTGTCTTGTCTCTGGGCCTCCACTCCTTCGTCCCCTTTATCCTCTTCCCACCCTGCATCCCCAGGCTCAGTCCACGCCCCATCACGGACCCCCCCCAACCCGTCACCTCTCCAGGGTGCCGTTTCCTCATGGGGTCCGTGTCCCCTCTGCATATTCTTGTTTCATAGATATTTAGCAGCATTTGTTAGCAGCACCCACTTGTCACGGGCGCTGAGAAAACAGCAGTGAACAAGTGAGACAAAATTTCTGTCTGTAAGGAGTTTACACTACCAGATGCCAGAAGGGATGCTGGGAGTGAAGACAAAGTCCCTTTCTCACCCTCCTGCTGGCCACCAGGACACAGACCTAGAGGACGTGCTGGGGGTGGTCAGCTCTGGTGTTGTGGGAGTTCAGACCAGGAGAAGATCCACGTGGGCAGATCCGGGAAGGCTCCTTGGAGGAGGAGGCATTCAGCTGGGCCTTGAAGAAGGAATCAAATGAGGACAGAAGTGGTGGGAAGAGGGTACTATAGGCAGGGGCCCCGTGCAAATGAAGCTTCAGAGAAAGGACTGAAGGATGACAGTGAGGATGTGGGGTGGCCGGGGTCAGGATGAGGGCGGGTGGAGTAGGGCCAGATGGTGACAAGGCTCCTGTGCCAGTCTCTGCAGCTCGGACTGGAGTCTGAGGCCGTGGGGCACCATGGCCGTCTCTTGAGCAGGAGGATTGAGAATGGCAAGGAAAGTCACCAGAGGCAGGTGACTCTCGTCATCTTTGCCCATCTCCACTAGGAATTCTGTGCGCCTGGTCATCAGGAAGGTTCAGTATGCCCCGGAAAGGCCTGGCCCCCAGCCCACAGCCGAGACCACCAGGCAGTTCCTGATGTCAGACAAGCCGTTGCATCTCGAGGCCTCCCTGGATAAGGAGGTACGGGACTCAGACGTGGGGTGGGGGGTAGAACTACTGGGGCTGGAACTGCTGAGATCCCAGCTTTTCCTGGCCTCAGGTAGGAGCCTCTGCCCCCAGCCCCAGGAGCACAGGGCTCTGGGGACCTGAGATTTCCCTCAGGGGTTTGGGGAGGCCTCTTGGGACCTAATGTGGTGTCAGAAGGAGGCACGATCCTGAAGGATGCGACCAGCTGCAGAAATCAGTGCAGCTCCCGAAGGGTCCTGGGTCCCAGTGACCTCCCTGCACCCCCATCCACCTCAGGCTGTGAGCATCCCTTCCCCCTCTCAAGGGCCCACTGAAAGCGAGTGCTCGGGGCGAGGTTCAAGTTGAGGTCCCTGGTGAAGATGCAGAGCTGGTTCCCTCAGGGAGTGGGCCGGTTCTTCCCCACCTCTCTCCAGCTTCTAGACCCTCCCGTGTCTAAAATTCTAGGCGGCCAGAGCTGGCAGGGACTTGATCCGTCACCCCCTACTCCAGCTGCCAGATCATACACAGGAGCAAACGGAGGCTTAGGAAGCCTGCGCAAGGTCGCACCCCTCTCCTTCTCACTGCTGTTATTACTGTGATCATCATTTCTGGTGACCAAGTCAGGACTGGAGCACAGGAGTGTCACCTTCTAACCCAATGACCTTTCAAGGCCCCTCGGAGGAACCACAGTCTAATGTGCCTGGTGGCCTGGCCTCAGCAGGAAGTGGCTGAGGAACTAGGGGCCTGTGTCAAAGTGGCCAAGGTCTGGGGAGCCCCGGGAGAGGTGTACGAGGCCTCTCCTGCCACCCCCCTCTGGAGTCCGAGTATCCTCCCACCCAGCCCTGCTCCCTCCTTCCGCCTCCCAGATCTATTACCACGGAGAACCCATCAGCGTGAATGTCCACGTCACCAACAACACCAACAAGACCGTGAAGAAGATCAAGATCTCGGGTACCCCAGGCAGAGGGCAGGCCAGAGGGAGTCCTCCCACGGGGCGGGGGTAGCTGAAGGCCCTCCCCTTGTTAACAGCCTTGTAAGTAACTGCCGGCTTGCAGGGGAGCCCAGGCCCTGCTCTGAGCCAAAGGGTGAGGCTTTTGAGGCTGCTTATTGGCCAGGTAATGTGTGTACTTTGTAAGCCGCCTCCTCTTAGGTTCCCTGGGCTCAGGGCAAAGCTGTTCTCGAGGGGAAGGTTTCTTGGCCGTGGAAGAGAGTAGGTGTGTTTGGGCAGCCCTTTGGGTGGAGGGTGGGATGGTCACCTATGGAAGCCTCCAGGGGACTCTGGCTATTTATTGCCTGGGGCTTAGCACCCCCAACTCAGGGGAGCCTGGGATGCCTGGGAGCTGCACCCCTGACTCGTATCACCTCGTTTCCCTCTTCCTCCCCAGTGCGCCAGTATGCAGACATCTGCCTCTTCAACACAGCGCAGTACAAGTGCCCCGTGGCCATGGAAGAGGCAGAGTAAGTGAGCATAGCCCAGCCCTGGACGTGTGGGATTGGGTGGGCAGAGAAGGAACCCTGGGTCCACTTACAGCCCCAGGAGCCTCTTCTCCACCTGGCAGAGGGCTGGGCCTCGGACTTCCTTGCCACTCACAGTCGATGATCCTGACCAGCCTTTTAGAACACATTCACTTGATTTAGCTACAAGAAATTGCATGCTACTGTCAAGGAAAAGATCCACTAAAACAAGAATGACAAAATAAGAGCTAATGAATCTGAAGGGCCTGGGGTCATAATGATACTGTATCAGAAACCTACGCTGAAGGGAGGTGCTTTGCTCTGAGCTTCCTGGTAGCCAAGGCAAAGAGGTTAAGACACTAGGTGCACAGCTTTTCTTGTCTGGTAAAAGAATAATCCAGCTCATGGGGTAAAGGGGGTTGTGGGGGTCGGGGGTGGAGAATAATTTCTTTTTTAGAAACGTTGGATTTGAGGAGAGCTACTATGACTGATCCTGGAACTTTGTTCCAAGCTTGTTAGCAGCTGAGGAAAGGAGAGACCTCAAGTGAAACATTTTTTTCTCACCAAAAGGAAGTAGATCCTCCTATTAGAAGACACATTTGGTGTTTTCTTTTTCTCCTGGCCCTGAATATAATTTTTTGAGTGGTTAATTTCATTGAATTTTTCTTATATGTGTGTGTTTCTTTACATGTAATAGCAATCAGTAGTTTTGCAACTACTCTTTGAGAGGTCCCGGCTGGGCGGGGTTGGCCTGGGCACGGGCATCTCTATACCCGCCTCCCTTCTGCCCAGTGACACGGTGGCCCCCAGCTCAACGTTCTGCAAGGTCTACACGCTGACCCCCTTCCTGGCCAACAACCGAGAGAAGCGGGGCCTCGCTCTGGATGGGAAGCTCAAGCATGAAGACACAAACCTGGCCTCCAGCACCCTGTGAGGACACGCCTTCCCTCACCCCCCCCCACTGGCTCTGGAATGTCCACTCTGTCCCCGTGGATCCACACCCACCTGGGGCCCACCAGTGCCAGCATGAAGCATAGGTTCCCCTCTTCCCAAGTGTTATCCAGGGTCCCTCGTCAGGAACTTAGATGGCCAGGGAAAGCTGTCCCTTTATTCTCACCACTATCTAGGAATGACCCAGAGGACATGATGGACCCCTAGACCCACGCCCTTGGTCAGTGCTGGGCTCCACTGGCTTGCTTGAGGGAGAGCAACCTGGAGAGGCTTCCTGCAAGAGGCAGCAAATCCTAACCCAGTGTCTTCAATCAGATGGGGTTTGTCTCTGAGGCATAGTGAAGCTGGAAGGGAGGGAGTAGCTCCTTGAATGGCCTTAGCAAGAGACAGTGAATTGTGAGGGGGTTCAGGAGGCTGGAGAGATGAGGGCAGATGTGGGGGTGCCCCTCGAAGGTGGATCTTCATCCCTCTCTGAGTTCCCGCCACCTCAGGGCACAGCTTCCCTCTCTCACACACTGCTGTCTGCTGGCTCCTGGTGGCCGAGTGGTCCAGGAGAGGGGGGATGGCCCTGCCCCCCACCACACCCCTCCCCTGCCTCCCCCCACCCAGGGAGCTCCCGTGGACCGGCTTCCTCATGTCACCTTGCAGGTTGAGGGAAGGAGCCAACAGAGAGATCCTGGGCATCATCGTTTCCTACAAAGTCAAAGTGAAGCTAGTGGTGTCTCGGGGCGGGTGAGTGTGCAGGTGCAGCCCCCGGCCCCTGAGTCCAGGGGCCGTGCCCCTAACCACCCACGGCCTGCTGTGCCGTCTGCCTGTTTGCTGGACTTTTTAGCTGCATTCACCTTAAGGATGAACCAAGCTCTAGGACTTCCTTTTCTGTCCCTTCCTCCTCCTCTGCCCCCTTACTCTCTGCAGAGGCCTTCAGCCCCAGCCTTGCCCCTCCCATCTTCCCCTCCTCCTTCTCCCCCCGCCCCGCCTCTGGGCCCACAGTGGGGGGAGGCTCCCCAGAGTCTGTGCTGTGGGGTATCTGGGGGGCCCTGCGCCCCTCATCACACCCTGGAGTATAGCACCCACCCCCACTCATGCCCCTGATGATCTGCTGGGGACTGAGGACCCCACAGCTGGATTGGGGGTGTTCTGACTCTGTCATTTTACAGATGGAGAAACAGAGGCCCGAACCATTCCCCAAACCTCTCCTGCAGTCTCCTCCCCTGACCTCAGGGCTCGGGCTGGGAGCCAGGGTCACGGCGGTGGGCTGCGGACGGTCCCTGCCCTGGAGCACAGTCTGGTGCAGGGAGGCTCAGAAAGAGCTGCCTTCCCCCATACTGTTGTTTAAACCTAGAATTAAGGTTTCTAATTTTTCACAGGGATTTTTTCTAATTAATACATTTGTACGGAAGGATGGGAAAGCTGATAGCCTTCGACGTTCAGTCCCCTGTATTATGAGAGTCCTGCCTCACGCAGGTGGGCAGTGTGTAACTCAACCGAGTATTATAGGACATCTCAGAGCTGCTGACCCCAGCTCCCAAGGCCTGTGACTCTCGCAGGACCCGGTCTCCTCAGGTTGCTTCCTGGAGAAATCCTTGGTGTGAATCCCAAACTGCTTCCTCCATCGGACAGGCCTCCCAGGAGAGGCAGCCCAGGGCCCCCTTTTCCTGTTTCCTTTGCAGACATGGGTCCTGCGGCTCAGCAAGGCCCTGTAGCGGGTTTGGCCAAGCCAGGCCCAGATCTCAGTGCCCCCGGGAAAAGCTAATGCCGTGTCTGTCCTGGATGAGCAGTTACGGCCATGCAGGGGGTGGGCGAGAGTGTGTCCCCGGGTCTTCTCAGCCTACGGGCAGCGCAGGTGGTGAATGAACATGCTTTCTGTTTTCTTCCGCTCTGAACTCTCTCCTGACCACCTCTCCCGCCTCCTCTGACCCACCCAGCCTGTTGGGAGACCTTACGTGCAGGTAAAGTTCCTCCCTTCGACCTGATGGACCCACCTCCCAGGACTGCAGGGCCCTGGGTTGGCAGGAATCTTATGGGTCACTTTGGATTGCTAGGCTCAGGCATGCGCAGGGCCTGGAACCCTCTCCTGAGGGACCAAGGGGATGCAGTTTTTCCATTAAAAACCTCACCCTGCTTGAGCATTGCACCCAAGTGACAAGGACCTTTGCAGATCGCAAAGCCAGCGTTACTGATCTAGGGAGTAGCCCCCAATTAGTCTGAATTATAGAATGTTTGGGAGAAATGTCAGCCTCATGGCTTCCAAACTTCTCCACTAGTGAGAACGGACTGCAGGCCGAGGGTTGCTAAGGGGACGGCCTGTGGAGCTCCGCCTCTGTCGACAAGACTCCCCTTCCGCCAGCGGGATCCACATATGTTCCAGAAAAGGCGCGTGCCCCCCACACAGAGGTTCTGCCTCCTTCTGTCACAAGATGGCGGCATGACTGATCCCCAGAAATCAGTCCGTTTGGATTGGGGTGCAATTCAATTCAGTTCAGTTCAATTCAATGTATTTCAGTAAAGATTTCCCGAACCCAGCCTGTGCCCAGGCTTGTGCTGGCTGCTGAGGTTCCAGAGAAAAATCAGACACAACCCCTGCCCTCAGTCGCTCCTGGCCTGGTGCGAGGTCAAGGTCTAGATTCTTCCGTCCGTATCCTGTGTGGTTTTAGCGGCAACCTGTGTCTTCCACCAGCTTCTGTTCTGAGAGCTCACTCTACCAAGTAGACCTGGAAAAGCAATCCCCTTTGGAAGCAAAAAGAACCAAATTGTTTCAACAGCCTTAGGAAACCTCCATGTTCTAACTGCGGGGAAAGTCACGATTCTGCCGGGCACAAGCTTCACAATGTAACCAAGCCTTTCCCCACATCATCTTCAGGAAGTTCTAGTGGTTCTGGAACGGAGGTGTTGTTATCCCCACTTTCCAGACGAGCTCAGTAGGACTTGAGGATGTAAGGCGCCCCCAAGCGAGTGGTGGGGCTGGTGGAACAGACCCTCCGGGTTGCCTGCCCCCTCTGCTCCCCTGTCCCTGCCTTTCTCCCAACCAGGCTTGCTGGGCAGCAAGCTCAGGAAGGCGGGGTTAGCGGGGCCTCCCAGGGGGACACGCCCTCAGACTGAGAGGAGGGGCTTCAGGGCTGCTGTTTGTTGTCAGAGTGCAGGGCAGAGGGTGGGTGATAGCACCTCGGTTATGAGCGGCTATCACCCAGTGGTTAAGGGAGTCAGAGGCCTGTCTGTCACTTCGCATTGATAGCTGCGTGCCCTTGGGGAAGATTCTGTTTGTCCTTGTGCCTCAACTTCCCAATCTGTACGTTGGGTGCAATAACAGCTTGTGAAGATTAGCGTAATTCTAGGATAGCCCCCGGCACAGAGTCAGTGCCACGTAAGTGCCTGGTCTTGTTATTTTTCTGGCTGTCAGACGCCCTGGCTGGTGCCATCACCTCCATGGCCCTGACCCCCCCCCTGCCCTCCCCCCATCTCCGTGCCCAGCGCAGACAGCCCCAAGGCCTGGGTCCCCTGCAACTTCAATTTGATTAAGCTGGCCTCAGCCATGCGAGGAGGCAGGAGGCTAGGAGCTGCTGGGATGCAGGAGATGCTGGGAGATGGGCGGTGGTGAGGGTGGGGGCAGGGGACCCAACAAGGAAGTTGGGAAGGGCAGTGTCAGGGAAGGCTGGGCTGGCTGTGGCGATTTGAGGTTGGCAGGGTCCCTTGGCCCCTCTGGAACTACCAGTGACCAAGATGCACAGACTGTTCTAAACAACCCTCTTCCCACCCCTGTTCCTCCTCCCAGCAAGTGGGAGTCCAGGGATCCTTCTCAGGGAACAGTGGTTTCCCTTCTTTTTGGAGCCAGGATTAGAGGTTTGCTAGTTCCACTCCAAGGAAGACTGAGGCTCCGAGGATGGCAGAACCAGGGCCTGGGGCCAGATTTCCCATCTCTCAGGCCAGAGCTACCCCTTCTGACCACAAAACCCCACCCCAGGCCCTCAGACTGATGGAGCCTTGATCTCACAGCCAGAGACTGGGCTCGGAGCTCACCGGGTCTGGGTCTCTGTTTCAGTGATGTGGCCGTGGAGCTGCCCTTCACCCTGATGCACCCCAAGCCCAAAGAGGAACCCCCACACCGAGAAGGTAAGTGGGGTCTGTGGATCACTGGGGTGGGGGTTTCCAGACAGCCAACCCCCTTCTCCACCAGCTGCTGTGTTTTCCCATCACCCCCCCTCCCTCTGGGTCCGCCTCCAGCCCAAGGGTCACCCCTCTTCCCCAACTCCCCAGGATCTTTTGTGAGACCCACATTCCTATTTACCTCTACCTCCCCAGAAGACAGAGAGGTCTGGCTCTGTTCTCTATGGGGATGGGCAGAGGCTGGGGTGGAGGGGGCCCCCTGGCCATGCTTGGAACCCTGTCTTGCACCCGGGTGTAGGGGAGGGACTGCATGGACAGGATGGCCCCTGGACACACCATCCCCACAGTTTTTCCAAGCGATACCAGATTGCTCATACTTCATTGAATCTAAAACTATTCAGTCAAAAGAGACATTGTAGTATGTACCACAAAGAAAGACAAATGTTCCCACAACTAAACTATGCAACACCATCGATTGTAAAGATACCCAAAGTTCAGAGATGTGAAAATGGTTGTTTTAGAGTCAGTAAGTCATGCATGCAAGAAATGAATCTAAGTCACGTTGGGAATATGCCGGAAGGAGCAGGGGCCAGAGGCTCTTGTGTGTGCTGGGGCTGCGGCGGGCCTCTGGGACCGCCCTGAACCCTCTGGCCTGCCTCCAGGCTGATGCGGGGGTATTCCTGAGACGGGGAACTAGCCTTCCTTCCCTACTGCCTTCTTCCCTTGCCCTTCTCATCTTAGCTTGGTGTTTCCGGGGTGTGAACCTGTGCCCCCACACCCACTCACCACTAACCGTGGGTGCCCACCCACCCTGTGTTCAGTTCCAGAGAACGAGGCACCAGTAGATACCAATCTCATAGAACTTGACACAAAGTAAGCCAAACCCTGCCTGCAGACCTCTGGGGGGTGGGCCTCGGGGAGGTGGGTGGGGCAACAGGGTTATTTGCATATATGCTTATTAATCCCTGATGAGCAGCTGGGCTAACCCCGCCTGCTGAGAGCCGCCTCTGCTCGCCTCTTCAGCAAACCGCTTGCCTGCATGTGACTTGAAGGACCCTCCGTGCCTGTTCCTCTTCCTCCTGACTTGGTGGGGTCTGTTCTTCCTCCCTCATCCTTGCACGTCCGTCAGTCCGTCCACAGCACCTGCTCAGCTCACACAGGGCTGGTTCGCGGCCCTGGGCTGGGACTCTCCTGCCTCTCCCATGCCCAACCAGTGGAATCAAGCTGTGGGGTGGGGAAGGTTCTGGGGATCTTGTTGCTTCTGACTCCTGAGGACTGATGCGGATTTCCCTGCGGCCAAAGGCCATCGGCTCACCGGACAGTGGCCAGAGGGGGAGACCTGGGTCGACATCGCCAACCACCTCCAGGGCCAACCAGCTTTTTTGCTTCAGCTCCAAATCCACTCTTCCCTTCTCTGCCTGGAGATATTTGGGATCTGGGGTCTCAAGTCACCCTATGAGCACACCCCACACAGCTGGCTGGATTCTGGGAGATGGGGGACTTGAGTGGGCCTGAGCGGACATGTTTCATGGTAGAGGGGAGCTCATTGTTCTCAGAAGCAGTCCTTAGTCCTGAAACCCCACTCAGGCACCCTCTTCCCCCCCCCTTCCTCCCCCCTCCCCCCCCCAATTAGACTTGCTGCCAACCCCTTCCTCTCTAAGACCCGACAGAGCAGAGTGTGAATCAAGGCTTTCCTGGGGCAGGGTCTTCTCAGTTCTCTGTTCCATAAAGCCAAGCCAGCTCGTTCCTGAGCAGGAGCTGAGATGCTTCCTGGGAGTAGCTCTTTCGTGGGGTGGGCAGGTGGGGTTTCTTGGGCTCGTTCTTGGGGGATTCAGAATATGCTGTGAAACTGCTGGTGGCCTGACCCCTCAGAGTGGGAGTAAGTTGTTCCTCCGGCCGCAGCCCAGCTTCACCCCCCCTACCACATCCCCGAACTGCTCAAGGACCGGGTCACTTTTCAGTCCTCAGTCGTGAAAGGCAAACTTAGGCCTTCCTCTGGCATTTCCACCACTGGCTGGAGGCCACATGTGACCAGTCCTACTGTCACTGGTGGGTGTCCAGATGTGCCAGCCTGGCAGGCCTGCCCGCCCACTGTCAGCCCTGGAGGCTGGTACCCGAGTCCCACCAGCAGGCAAGCCCTCTCACTCCTCTGAATAAGCCTACTCACCCCGCCCTGCAAATACCCCTCGTTTTCCTTGTCTTTCCCACCAGCGACGACGACATTGTGTTTGAGGACTTTGCCCGTCAGAGACTGAAAGGCATGAAGGACGACAAGGAGGAGGAGGAGGATGGTACTGGCTCTCCACGGCTCAACAACAGATAGACTGGGGCCAGCCCAGCCCGGGCAGCTCCAGGTCCTCCCTCCTGCTCTAGGCTGCTCGTTTGTCTTCTTCCTGTCCTGGTGCCCCGTCCCCTTCGTTCTTCCAGTTTCTACCAGGGGGCCCAGTGGTCTTCCAGGCTGTGGTGGTGAGCCTCCGGCCTCAGGACGGGCCCCGCACCCCCATGCTCGCAGGGCCACCTGCGCCACCATAGCCCTCTCACTGCAGTCACCTTTTCATCCCCTTTCTCCCTGCTGACCCTCAGAGAGGCCACCGTGGCTCTGGCCTTGGACTTTGACCTGGGATGGGGAACAGCGGGGAGGATAGGGCGTTGGGCTTGGCGGGGTGGGGATGCGGGGTCCAGACTGTGAGAGAATGTCCACGGTCCCAGGTGGCTAGTGCAGTCTGGCAGCTAAAGGATGACCACGCCAAAGGCCACTGTCTTCTGGCTGGGCCCGCAGCCTGTGGATGGATTCTCAATGCCTGTTTGCAGTTCTGACCCACTAAACACCGTTCTCCTACGCCCATCCCTGCCCCATGTCCCTCTGCATCTGACAGTGACATTGGTATAAACCCCAGGAGTGGAGAAAAGCGACTGGACTTTCTTACCAGCAGTTACCTGGTCTAGGGCAAGCAGCGTGAACTAGCCCAAGAGTATTTCAGTGTTGTCAGGGTGTGGTCTCCTAGCTACCTGGCATCTTACCCATGTTGTCCTGTGAATAAACATGCGTAGAGAGAGAAAGTAAGGAAGGGGTACTTTCTTCAGAAAGTACTCCCTGCCCCCGCTTCCAGGCAGGATGAGCTGAAGCTCCAAAGGAGGTGTCCTGAGGGTGGCTCTGAGAAGTGGGCGCAGGGGCCGGAAGGGGAGAGTCTTCCCTGTTCCCTTCTTTGTGGACTTGAAACTGGTGAACCCGTGGGAAGCAAGGCTGGAAATCCAGGGGGCGCTCGGGACACCAGTGTCCTCCTCCCTTCCCTTGCAGTTCTTCTGGGCCAGGCTGGACTGGCTCTGCAGGCTGGGACACAGTGCTTGAGGCCACCGTGCCCACAGGCAAAAGGGGTCCTTCCTCAGAAGGTGGCAGGGTCCTTTGGGATACCCTCACCTAAAAGGGGGCTGCCGGGCAGCAAGGCACCCTTTGTTTCCTTGGGGAGTTGATGACCCCCTCAGTGGTTCCCAGTGCCATGGGGACCCCGCACCCATTGGCTGGTGTGTGTGGTTGATGTCTGGGGTGTTGCTAGGGTAACAGGGCAGGCAGGTGATGAGGTGGAAAGTGTTCGAAGGTCTCTGTTGTTGTCTGGTCTTTGATACTCTCTTACTCTGTGTCCTTGGGCAGGTTCCTTTCCCTTTCTGGGCCTCAGTTTGCCACGTAGAAAACCAAGGGCTTTGACCTGATGATCACAAGGGGCCCTCCCAGCTCTGTCCTCCAAGAACTTGTGAACATTAAAGTTTCTGGCTTAGTGGGTGGAGCCAGAGCCACTGACTCTGTTCTGTGCCTCCAGAGGGGCTCACTGGTCAGACCCTGGAGGTATCAGGGCCATGGAGAGCTTTACTTCCCCACGGCAGGCCTGAGTAGGACCCTTGTTGGACCTGGGGGGCTTGCCTGACGTCAAGGCGTGGCCATAGCTAACATGGGAGCTGCCCGGCCCTGGGGCCTGAGTATGAAGGGAGGACAGAGCTTGCATTTGCTGAGCTTCCAGCAGGGCCAGAGGGCTGCTGGTGACAAGGCCTCCAGTAACACAGCCGCTGTGGATGTGGACACCTGAGCTCCACCTTATACCCAAGCAAGCACACTGATTTATGGGGCAAGGGGCTCTCTCCTCAATTCCTGCTTCCTTCTCTCTCTAGCCCATACTTGCCTGAGAAGGGAGACAACAGAAATTTCATTACACAAGTTGAATCTCAACACTTTTCAGTCCAGGCTCCCCTGGGGTGGACTGGGCAGTCACTTCCCAGGGTGAAGCCACTTCACCAGCTCCTGGCTCTGCATCAAGCCCTTCCCTTCGGCCTCTCATGAAGACTCAACCCTAGGGAACCCTACTCAGGTGAGAATCCAGTCACCTTGGACAGTCACACTCCCCTGGCCAGTCCCGGGGTCCTAGCTGCGGGTACTCCGGGCACCAAGCCCCTTACCAGAGCTCACTGAGTGGTTTGCACTCCATCGGGCAGCTGTAGAGCTGAAGGAATGCTGGAACAATGTGCCACGAGCATGTGGTCACCAGGGTCTTCTTTGGGAACCTTTGGAGCTGGGATAAGACCCTTTAGGATTTGGGGTAATCACTCCGCTCCACACCTCCTCCTCCATCTCTAACCTGTGCACATGAAAGACTTGCCACTGGTTTCTTGAGCTTCCACCCCACCAACATCTCCCTCACCCTTTTGGGTTTATCTCCAAGGTTACCCGAAGCTTCTCCAGCTGCAAGAAGCATCATAGTCCCATCTAGCCTTTTACTCTTTGGGTTCAGGGCTGCAGAAGGGCAGTGGTCAAGTTCATTTGAATTTGGCTTCCATCCTGCGCTGATACCTTAATTGCTCAGTGCTGAGCACCGAAAACACAGAGATCAGTTAGTCCCAGGCACTGTCCCAGAGAGCTTGTGGCCAGGGAAAGTCATGGGGGAAGAATGGGGCCATGTTATTCATGGCCCCAGGGCCATTCCTCATCCACATAGTGCCTTGCGTGAATCAGGAACAGTGCCCCTTCCAGGTGGACTCCGCCTACGCTAGAATGGACAGCTCTGTAAAGGGTATCCAGGCTGCAGTGTAGCCCTGCTCGCCCCTGGACTGGGTGCCCTCCTGCAAGCCATGCACTGCAGCTCGGGGGCCCTTGGACCCATGTTTCCTCTGTCCTCTTCCTGTGAGAAAAGCCCAGCTCCTCTTCCCAAGCTTCTGGTTGGCTTTAGACCCTTGCAGCCCCCAAACATGACTGGGCCCCTCTCTGCGAGCCCCTCTCCTGGAGTCAGGTGAGACCCCGGAGGGAAACCAGTGGGTTGGGAGCACCCACTGGGCCCCAGGCCCCAGCCCACAGCGTCAGTTCATTCTGTGCACGAAGTTGGGTCCCGTGCTGAGCACACTGCCACACTGGGACTCGCCAGTGGGCGTGAAGGTGGCACATAGGTAGCAGTTTAGGGTGGAAGGAAGACCGTGGCCCTGAGTGAAAATCCCCAGGCAGAGGGTCAGCTGGGCTCCTCCACATTCCAACTATGAGAAGAATCAGTCCCAGTGAACCTAAGGACTGGTTATCTGCTGGACCCCACCGGCCTCCTCAGCCTCGGTGGTACTGTGTCAGCTGGGGAGTCACTGATAAGCTGGTTCCCGCTGCGCTGGGAGAAGCATGCTGGTCTAAAAGCCCAAGGTGCCTCTGTGTCCTCATTGTCATTACTCAGCTGAGTAGCCTTGAGCAAGTCACTCAACCTCTCGGCCTCAGTTTCCCTGACTGTAAAATGGGACAGCAATCCCTTCCCCACTTGCCTCAAGGAATTGTAAGGCTCAGGTGAATAGCAGTCAGTAGACTTGAAAGTCAGCCCTGTACATTGCAAATGGCGGCACAGGCTATTGCCCTGCCACTGCAGGGGAGTGGTCCAAGGCCATAGAGGAAGTTAGCTGTGGCCTTCTGGTCATCTCATTTAGGCAGATGTCAACCAGAAGGAGATGCAGCCAGGTTGGCTTTGGTGACCCAGCTGAGGGGAACACGGAGGCGCTATTCAGGAGTACCACACCTCAGATAATGGTCCCAGCAATCAGGACAGAGACACAAGACATGGGTATTGTCGGTGATTGGGGCACTGGGCCCAGGTTGGTGAGGACCCCCAGCCCCCAGTCCCAAATCACTTCTCCATCAAAGAACCCAAGGGTGATAAGGAATAGAAATTGCCTGCTCCTTCCCTTCAAGGTACAAGGCCCCTTCCAGTGTCAACCAGAGCTGCCAGTACTTCATGATGATACTTGGGACATACCTGGGACACTTGGGGAAAACCCAGGCCTCTTACACGCGGTGCTGAGCTGCAGCTGACCTGTCCCCCAGTGGTTCCGGCAGCCCACAAAGGTGGATTCTCTCCTACCAGTGACTGGGGATGGGACATCCTCAACCCATCCTGGAGGAAGACATTAGGCCCCAATCTTGAACTCTTTCAGGGTCTCATGGTCATAGGCCTATGCCTGTTCTGATGTTTTTCCTTTTCAAGTCAACAAGGACCAAAACACGCTCCCCCACCCTCGCGCATGAGCCCGCATCTGGGCCCGGGCAGCTCCACCACTTCGTTCTCCCTCCGGGACCTGAACGGCCAACCCGCCGGGGCAGGCTCTCCACCTCTGATGCTCGCTGGCAGGGCCACTGCACAGTGGCTTCAGAGAGAGGCCTGTGGAGGGGCGCATCCTTTCCCCATCACTCTCTCCCAACCCTTCACCCCAAAAGGGAAGTCGAAGCACAGGTCCCATGGACCCATGATCTGTAGACACTCTGACACAGTGGTTTTCCAGCCAGGTGCTGTGGAACCCCTGCTGTTCCACAGCACCTTGGCAGGGCTGTTGAAGTGGGGAGGGAGGGATGGAGGCAGGGCTAGGTCTCCAGCCCTGCCCCCACCCCCACTCCCACCATAGCAGCTCTGCTCTTATGTCTTGCCTACTGAAGTTTCGCCTTCAAAGTTTCTTTTGGAGAAAAAAATTTCTTCAAACCATGATTCCAAGGTTTGATATTAGACCAGCAGGCACACGTTCTGCCCTTGCTCTTCCTGGTGGAATGGCTGTAGTGTTCCAACACTGGGTACCTTTGTACCGGAACTCAGGTCACAGGCCCAGGCCCAGCCATTTGCTTATTCACACACACACACACACACACACACACTTTGTCATTTGGGGATTTTGTAGCCCCCTACCCTAAAGCTTGGGCCTAGGTTTCATTTGGGCAGGGGCCTGGTGCTCGGTGACTGGGGGTCATGACCCTGACATTGGCCCATGCAGTGTGGGGGGCTGTGGGGCGTGGAAACAGGCCCAGCCCTCTCCTAGGACTCGTGTCTGCACCCCAGTAGGACACCCAGCTCTCCTGGCCCAGGCACGAGGGATGACCGAAGGAGCAGTGTGGTGAGAGGAGACACTAGAGTCAGGCTCTTTACATGTGGACAGGTGGATGGCAGTCCAGGTTTCTTACAGGAAATGCTGAGGCAGGACTTTACAGCCAAAGTCCCTCCTGTGAGGGCAGGACCTGCCCAGAGATGTTCCAGGCAGCAAGTTTCCCTCAAGCGATTCTGCCAGGACTCTGCTCCCACCTTTGTGGGCAGTGGCGTGTGTGGGCTGCAGGAGGGTGCCTGAGGGAGGCTGGTCCCGTACCTGCAGTCTCCCGAACTCTCTCCCTGCCAGCCTGCCCCTTTGCCTGGGTCCCTCATCAGGGCTGAGGGCGGGCACCTTGGTGAGATCTGGACCAGCCCTTGACACAGCATCCTGCCCCTCGCCCACCCAGAGCATTCGAGGTGTAAATGTGAGGCTCAGGGCGCTGCAAGCCATATGGCATGGAAGAAAGTGTGCCATCTGACGCTCTACGTTCAGTCCGAGTGTGTCCTGGGGACCCGCTGACCTCAGTGTCTCTGTGTGTGCTGTGGGGCTAGCGCCAGGCTCTGCCCACCTCACGGGAATTACCACTGCAAGGATCATGAAAGGAGTGGGTACCAGAGGTGCTTTCGCAGGAGAAGCGGGAGCCTCACAAACTGGGGGTGGGATCGTTGCCTGCGCTGCAGATCAACAGAGCGCTCAGGGGAACAAATGTGGGGTGCACAGTCCTTCTGGAACGTGTCTGCTCCGTGGAGCCAGCCACAGACCCTGGGGGCGGGATGGGGGCAGGAGCACCTCTTCCCACTCAGTGGGAGTCAGCACTCAGCCTGCTGCAAGTCCTGGATGTGGGGACTGGTGGGTGACTGGGACAGCTCTCCAGGTCGGTGGCCCTTCTGTGAAGTGATTATTTTGTGATACTCTCATTCCTGGGCCATCTGCCAGGTTTATTTGTTGTACCTGTGGCATTCCTTATTATCTCAGATAAGTTATTGCAGTTTATTCAACTCTAACAGGACAGTGAACAAAAGAACTACAAATAGATGTCCATTAAAGGTCTTTTGTGACAGGTGCTGGCTGTGCTTTTACTTCTGTCCCATAAACCCCTGGTGGGATGTGGACCAGGAAGTGCTGGCCCTGATGCCCTGGACTGGTGGAAAGGGCCCGTGGCTGGGTCACGTGTTTTCTTCCCTGTCTCTGGTCCCAGCTCCAACCTGGTTGCTGCACCCCATTCCAGAGACTGCCAGGACGCTTTCCCCTCCCCCTCCTGCCATTTACCTGCCTTACGGCTTTGGGAAAGTTGCCCGGACTCTGATCCCTGTCAGGTCCACTGGGTCTCATGACCCCTGGTTTTCTCCTGGGGTGAAGCGATCCCATCTTCTCCTGGCACCACTGACCGCTTCCGCCGAAGTCCTGCCCCAGTTCCAGCCATGATTCCTGTTCAGGTCTCTTTCCTGCTCTGCTGGGTCTTCCCCAAGCCACTCCTGTTTTCCACAACTTACCCCTTCCTGTTCCGAAAGAACACTGGGGAGGAGTGAGGATACAAGTGCAAAAGATTCCAAGTTCTAAATGATAACGTACAGTATTAACACGAAAGGAAGGTGCTGATGAATGTAAAATGATTTTCCTAGAAAATGGATTATATATGAAAGACAAACTTTTACGTTCCTATAAAATGATGTGCAATTTAGATCAAAGCATCGCCCTCCTGGCCGGCCAGAAGGTGGCCTGTTTCCTGATGCCCCTTCCAGCCCAGAGAAGGGCAGTGGGGAGATACCCACACCTGAACCAGGAGACCTGAGCTAGTTTTTGTTCTGCCCCAACATGGACTAGATCAGTATGAGTCCAGATAATCAGCACCTGTGCCCATATTTCAGTAGCAGGAATTTAACTGAAAAAACTGGTTACAAAAATGTTGCAAGAGTTGAAAGGGTAAATGGGACATGAAGCAACCCAGAGATCAGGTGCAACGGGAACCCACAACCACCTGTGTGGTGGAAGCACAGGGAGAGGAGGTGGGCTTTGTGGGGCTGAGGAACCAGGGCCGCTCTACAGGGACTTTGTGGGAGAGGGTATCTGAGGAGCCTGGACCACAGAAGAAACACAGGTATTGCTGGAGATGCTGCCTGAAGCTGAAAGAGCAGGGGAAAAACGCTAGTTTCTCCTCTTCTCCTGCCCTTTGATTCAGTATTTGTGCCTCCTTCGGGCGGAAGCTCATTTTCAAGGAAGCTTGGGAAATGTAGTTCGCAGTGGTCACTGCCCTGCTGTGCAGAGCCAGAGGAGGCCAGGGGACTAGTTGGGAGACCAAACGGGCAAATCACCAGCTCCTCCTCCATCTTCTCACCCAGCAATAGAAATAACGACACTGGGCTGGATATCACAGTGTAGAAGGAGGGCCCTGACATCTGGCCAGGACTCTGAGCGTGGGAGAGGGGCTTGTTGTTGCCTCTTAGCTTTGAGCTTGCCTCCTGCCGTCCCCGCCTGGTGGTGCTCTGGGACTTCATTTATCCAGCTTTTGGAATCTCCAGCAAATCAAAATCAACCGGGGAGGCATTTCAGATTCTTCCCAAGACAGGGTAAGTCCACTATAGCTTATTTCTCCTACTGATTACATAGAAAAACTCTGGACAAAAATACAAAACAACTACCTAATGACTCTGAAAATTAAACAAAAGGAGGAAGATGGTGCAGGGGATTCAAAATTTGGAGAAGTAATCTGGGGTCAGTTTCCCTTTCTTTCCTCTTTTCTCCCGTGGATTTGTGCTGAAGTTAGAACCATCAACAACACAAGGTAAGACAGAACTGAGGGTCTAAACCTAAATTAGTTGATTGTCTCTAAACATAACATAATCAACATTCTACAAAGGATTATAACACGACCAAGTCTACACAATATGACATTCAAAATGTCTAGGATACAATCAGAAAGTATTTAACAAAGAATCGGGAAAATATGACCAATTCTCAAGGGAAAATACAATCGATATATACCAACTCTAAGATAACTTTGATGCTGAAAATTATTAGAAAAGAGTTTGAAGGAGCTGTTAGAACTTGAAAGTGATGGAAAGATAGTGGTTCTCAACAGAGATTAGAAACTAGAAAATGAGCCAGATGGATTTTCTAGGACTGAAAAATAAAATACCTGAAATAAAAAACTCACTGGACAGGCTGAAGGGCAGAATGAGGGCGACAGAGGAAGAGCTGGTGAAACTTAAAGACACATAAGTAGAAATCATTCAATCTGGAAAACAAAGGAAAAAGATTGACAAAATTAAGATACTGCTGCAGAAAAAAATTGCATGAAAGACATAAATTTATAAATTCAAAAAGCTGAGCTAATCCCAGACTCAAAGAAAAGCATATGATACACATAACCAAACTGCTGAATATCAAATGTAAATGGTAATATATTGAAAGCAGGTAGAGAAAATGACACATTCTTTTTTTAATATATATATGACAGATTTAAAAAAATATTTTATTTATTTATTTTTGGAGAGGGGGAAGGGAAGGAGAAAGAGGGGGAGTGAAACATCAATGTGTGGTTGCTTCTAGTGCACCCCCTACTGAGGATCTGGCTTGCATCCCAAGCATGTGCCGTGACTGGGACTCGAACCATTGACGTTCTGGTTCGAAGGCCTGTACTTAATCCACTGAGCTACACCAGTCAGGGCACAATGACACATTCTTGTACATTCTTCCATACAAAGAATGATCATTTGATGTAGCTTTCTCAACAGAAAACATGGAGGCTAGAAGAGAACGGAATGACATCTTTAAAGTGCTAAAAGTAAAAGAATTGTCAACCCAGAATTCTGTAACCAGGGAAAATATCCTTCAAGAATGATTTAAAAGAGAGAGATTCTCCGGTGATGATGAGAATGTAAGAGAATTTGTCACCAGAAGACCTGCAATAAAAATAGATAAATAGAGAAAAGAAATTCTTTAGGCTGAAAGGAAATGATGCCAGAGATGAATCTGTGTCTCCAGAAGAGAAACAGGCTACATTGGTCATCCCGAGTCCTTTAAATATGTGTGACTGTTGAAAGAAAAGATTATAAATTGTCTGATAGGGATGTCAGTGTATATACAGGGAACACACATGACAACTACGATGTAAAGGTTAGTGGGGGAAATAAAGACATCTATTTGGGAGACTTCTGTATTATATATACTTGAAGTACTCCCATATTAATCCTAAGTATATTATGAAAGATTATATATGTATATGGTGATTCCTAGAGCAACAAGTACAGCCAAAAATATAAATTAAAATTGCGTACTAAAAATATTCAAATATTTCAAAAGACGGCAGTAAAGTTGAAACGACAGAATAGGAAACAGGAAGGACAAACAAAAAAATAAAAGTGATGGACCTAAATCCCACCATATCAATAACTGCATTAAATGTAAATGGTCTAAACATAATTAAAAGGCAGAGATTGTCAGACTGGATTGAAAAACAAACAAACAAACAAACAAGATTCAGTTATATTCTGTCTACAAAAAAACGCACTGTAAATATAAAGACAAAGCCCTGGCCAGTGTGGTTCAGTGGATCGGGCACCTGCCTGCAAACTGAAAGGCCACTGGTTCGATTCCCAGTCAGAGCACATGCCTGGGTTGCAGGCCAGGTCCCCAGCTGGGGGTGTGTGAGAGGCAATCAATCAATTTATCTCTCGCACATTGATGTTTCTCTCCCTCTCTTCTTCCCTTCCCCTCTCTCTAAAAGTAGATAAATAAAATCTTAAAAAATATAAAGACACGGATAAGATGAAAGTAAAAATACGGGAAAGGTAACCATACAAACAATACTAAAAAGGAAAGCTGGCCCCGGCTGGTGAGGCTCAGTGGACTGAGCACAGGCAACTTATTTTCTTCGAAGGTGTGAAGGCAATTTGATTGTTGTCTTTTCAATAAATACCGCTGGTGAGAGTGTGGAGGAACTGGAATGCTCATAATGGGAATGCAAAATGGTAAAACTCTTTCTTAAAAATTTATTTTTCAATTACAGTTGACATACAGTATTATATTAGTTCCAAGTGTACAACAGAGTGATTAGACATTTATATAATTTACGAAGTGATCACCCTGATAAGACTAACGGATACTTTGGAAAACAGTTTGGCAGTTTCTCACAAATTTGTATTATAGAATTGTACACCTGAAACCTATATAATTTTATTAACCAATGTCACCCCAATAAATTCAATACAAATTAAAAATTAAAAAATAAACATGCTATAAGACTTAGTAGTTCCACTCCCAAAGGAAATGAAAAATTACGTTCCTACAAAAGCCTGTACACGAACATTAATGATGCCTACATTCATATCTGTCAATAACTAGCAACAACCCAAATGTTCTTCCACAAGTGTGAATGGATGAATCGTAGGCCACACAGTGGAACCCTGATCGGCAATAAGAATGAACCAACTCGTGATAGCGACAGCGGGGAGGAATCTCAAATGCATGAGACCAAGTGAAAGCAGCCCGACTGAAAGGACAAATTGCACATGTCTACTTACATGACATTCTGGAAAAGGCAAAACCATGGGGACAGTAAACAGACCCCTCGTTGCCATGGGCTATGGTTGGAGGAGGGTGTCTACAAAGTGACAGCAGGAGGGATTTGGGGGCGGGGAATGGAACTGTTCCATATCTTGATTGTCCAAATCAACTGTATGTCCCAAAAGTGGATTTTACTCTCTGCAGACATGTACCTCAATAAAGAAGCAAAAAGGGCAGGACCAGAAGAAACGAAACAATTTATAGCTCACTGTAAGGCCTCAAATGATGTTTACTGGGCCGGTACCATTTGCTGGGGCTTACGCTGTACCTTGAAGACACAGGGGTAACAGACACACCCCCTTCCCTCCAGGAGCCCTCAGGTCATAGGAGGATGAGGCAAGGGTTAGAGTTGCTGCCGAGTGGTGTTGGAGATGGGCCCACAAGCACGCACTGCGTGCCTGCGTGAGAGCACTGAGGAGGGGCCATCACAGTCAGCTGGGGCACATGAGATGGGGGAGAAGGCAGGCTTCCTAGAGGAGGCATTGCTTGAACCACGTT